CAAGAGAATTTCAGCTTATTCTGCTGTGCCCTAAGAGGTACCTACAATAGGTACAGATGGGGAGAGTAACTTAAAACAAAAACCAGTATGCCTGAACTAAACACCTTGCTTATGATCAGCTGAATTGAATTATAGGAAGGAACAGAGTGTTAGTTCATAATAGTTAATTTTTGTTATTTTTTGTTTAATACATTGTTAGGTCAGTTGGAAAATAGAGTCCTCAATTGTCGCTTGGCTTAGTGCTATTTCTCTACATGTAAGTATCTATAATTTAGATTCTGAGGCAAAAATAACTTTATTTTGTTACTGATAAAAGATGAAACATATTTGACTGACATTGTTGGAAATAAGCGATAAGAAACTTTAACAGATCTATCAATCAAAACAGCAGTTTTATTTCTTGTATTATTAGCTCCTGAGGCTTTGCTGCAGCGCGTGAGAGGTAATTTCTTACTGTAGGCTTTTCTTACTGTGCACTTGATGTACTTCTGGGGTGGGCGGTGAAAACTGTACATTTTATTTTGTTTTCAGTGTTTCAGTCATAAGGTTTTGATGATCTCAGCTTGTTCCTTTAGTAGTTATGTCTGGGTATGATCTAAGGAATCTTGGAAACCCACTAAGGCAATAGGAAACAGGGGTCAGGAGAGAACGGAGTAATTTTTTAGACTTAAAAACATTGGGGGGAGGAGGGGGGCAGAACTGCTCTTATAACACTTTATGAAAGCAAACCAACAACAAATCTTGCAAATTTCAAAGCATCCTTCCCTTTTCATAGTTTTCCATCAGGGCTCTATATACATTTTGCAGCGCTGCTCTAGGCTCCATTGGTGAAGTGCGTTACGGATTATGTGAGCGATGCTCGTGGTGGTTTTTGATCCCTAGATCAATCCCAGTGATGGGAGTTTGTTGAAGCCTCCAGTGGGTGAAACACGGGAGAAGGCAGCAGAAGCTCCTTTGATAGTGCCTGGGTAGCTCATTAGAAGAGGTAGCAGTGTCATCCAAAAGAAGCTATTTGGGAACCACAGAGTGTGGTGCTGGGGAGAGCACTTTCTTTGACTCATCTGGAACTAACCTGGACCTGGTATAGATTTTTCTTCAGAAAGAGAGAGGGAATTCCTCCCCCACCCCATTTTTTTTCAAATAATTTTAAACAGCATCAGCCCAGGTCCCTCCAACTTTGAATTTCAAATTATTCAGCTATATAAAAATGAACAGGCACTGCTATGTCTAAAGCCAGGCACATGATTGCAGGACTTCGATTTGGACAGAAACCTCTGTGTTCGTGTAACTTTATGTACATACGCGCATGCACACACACATGCGCGTACACAGTAAACACACAGTAAGAGTTTTCTTAGCCCCAGTGGAAGAAGGCCTTTTGTGTTTCCTGAAAGAAAAAACATAGTATAAAGTATAAGAGGCTAAGCCCAAGATCTGGGATAGAGATGTTATTCTGAATTGATAAGAACAACTGTGAGTTAGAAAGAAATGTATAGGGAGAGTAAAAAATAGCCATTCATTTCCAGCTAACAGCGCCATTTAAAAATTTGGAATTTAGAGGACAGTGTAGTATCTTTCTATCCAGTGAGAGCGCTAAATTGTGACTGGCTTTGCTTTATACTTTTTTAGAACTGTATTTGTTGTTCTGTGTTAATTATATTTCAGAGATTACTAAGTGATTTGATATTTACCGAGTAATGTCCATGAGCAGTAGTTGCTGAGTCATGATACAAAGTTAGCATTTTGGTGGGAGAATGAAGGGGAGTAGGACCAGCATTGTATTTTCAGCTTCAAAAAAGATGTTCCAGCAATTGTAAGCAGATGGGCTCTGAGGCTGGGGAGCAGAAAAGGCTGCTGTTTGGAGGTCTGAAATTTTGAGTTCCCATTTGTTTTAAATGCTTCAGAGGTAATAAAACACTTTCTAGGGGTCTAAGGAGCTGTAATGAATTTGATTTTAGGGGGAAGGGAATTTATTTCTGTGGTTGTTGCTTAATCAACATCTACTCTGCCGCTTCACATCAGTTTCTGTCCTTTCCAAGTGAATTAGTTCTTTGGGCAGCGTGTTAAGAGGAAGTGTATTGTTCTTGGCAGGGCACTTGAATTTCTAATTACCAGATTCCTGCCTTAATTGCAATTACCTGGACACCCAGGCAGGGTGAACTTTTGGAAAAGAATGTAATTAGTGCAGAAGAAACCTCGCTGCCAACTGCTTGTCTGGATATCTGCACTAAGCAGAACCTTGATAAGTTCACATCTCTACAGACAAGCTATCAATCCATTGAGATGCTGCCCAAATGTTGTGCAAGTCTGTTGCAATGTGTATGATTACTGTATGGCCTTAGACCTGGTGTGAAGTTAAAGACAACTATTGGCTTTTCTGTTTCCGCCTGAATTTAGGGAGGAAGGACTGCTACGAAATGTCTTCGTTTTTTGTAGGTGCTCACCAATAAGCAGTTAATCAGATGCAGAATTTAAGTAAATGGCAATAGTAAATTGTGGTCTGTGTGCGATAAATGAGGTGTGCACAGAGTAATTTAATTCAAGTAAAAATAAACAAATCAGATAATTTCTTTCCAATAATGTTTGTAGTGAGCCATTCTTCGCATACAACTACAAAAGCAAAATGTTGCTAGTCCAGAAGAAGTCATGCAAAACTACACTTTTGAGTAGAGGTGGGGCCATAGTAAAGGTAGTTCTGAATACAGGTTGTAGCATATCCTGATTAGAAGCTGAAATCACTTGGCTTAAGGGCCTCTGGAAAGGTTTGCTGCATCAGGCTTTTATTGTCAGCTCCCTTGTGTTGACTCACAGGAAAATTAAATGCAATTGATGAAAAATAAGGGAAAAGAAATCAAAGAATTACTACTTCAAAAAAAATTACTGAAAACTGTCTTTCTGTAATTGCAACCTTTTAGTAATTCAGCTTTCAAATAATGTTGCTGATGAGGAAATTGAAAAACTGTTGTGTTAAGACATTTTTTGTACTGGGGCTTGAGTGAGTGCTTTGGGGGGCTTTGTTTCTTTCCTTGATACCTTTTAATAATAAAAAAAAACCGAAAACACCCAAACCCGGAAACATTGATGTGATCGATCCCTATGAGGTCAGGGACAGACAGACTTTGTCCCCATGGTGGTAGCCATTTGTAACGTACCGGTGTCACTTATTGATGGACTGAAAATAAGCGAAGCCCTCAGATAAGTGTCTTCTGTTTTTATAGAGGGAGTTACAAAACTGCTTTGTTCTTTCAAAAACACAGTTAAGAGCACTTCAAATGAGCTGCTCAAATGCTAGGCTTCCCAAGCTCATGTAATGGTGAAAAGGTTGTGGTGGGAAGGGTGGTTGGTGGTGGTGGTGGTGGTGGTGTAAAACTCTTGCAGTGGCTTTGAAACAATGCAGGGATAGAGGAGATGAAGGAGGTGGGCTGATGAAGCCCTGCTGAATAGTTAACTGGTTTAAATTCAGTTACTGGGGTGTTCAAGTCATTAACAGGTGCATCAATGTGGTTTTTATTAACAAAAGTTTTCCTGTCATATATAGTGTGGTTGGCAGCAAGAACTTATTCTCAGCCAGCTTGATCACATAGGCAAACCCTGTTCAATCAGATCCCAGGGGTTGTTGCCCATCCCTCACTTTTGCCAAAATAGAAGTGAGAATACTAAAGGCTTTGGGAGGTAATTCACGAGATTCAAGGTCAGCAAGCTCTTGATGGGCTCAATACTAGGGGTTTTACATAGCTTTTAAATTTTGAATTTGTGAAGAAAAGGTGCTTTAAAAAGTTTGGCTATCGCAGCGTTTTCACTACCATTTTTTCTTTCCACTCTGTGTTTAAATTTGGCTCTTCTCAGTCTTACCAGTCAAATGCCTTATTTTTTTTTTTCAGACGTATTGATGGAGAAAGTCAGATTAGAAAAGTTTGGGTTTTTTTTCTTTGTCTCTGTTTTAGTCAGACTCATAGATTTATATGCCTCTTGTGCTGGAAAATAATACACACATACTAGTATTGGGGAGGGAGTGAGTGATACTCGTGCACACAGGCAGACAAAAGTTTCAGATCAAATTGTGATTTTCAGGTGCTGATGTAGAAACACTATGAAGAAGTCCCTCCTTTTCAGGCTTCTTGGCACTCTTGGAAAATTAGACTATTTTTATGGGATCTCAATCACTATTAATTTTGAAACACCTTGGCAAGAGGCATGATAACAAACATATTTTGAACATTGGATAAGCAGTTTTCCCCCGTCCTTTGAAAACAGATAGGGAAGGGAAACCGAGATGTATTAAAAGCATTATATAAAAAGAAGACAATTTGTCACTGTAGGGTTTCTTCCATGTTTTAGTTTTGGTGGTCTTATAACCGTAGCACTGAAGGACTTGCACGTGTGGATATAGCTACCCTCCCTAGTTGTTAACAACTAATCTGAATTCACTAGATGAGAGCTCAGCGACCACTAGCCATGGCCAGGGCTTCTGAAGCCCAGCATCAGCTGAGTCGTTAACATGGCCTCGCCTGGTCGCTTCACACAGGAAAGTGGAGACCTTCTTAAGAGTTATTTTTAGCGTTCTCATATTTTTTTAATTCGTACGTTCGCTGGTAATAAGGGGCATAATTCTTTTTTTCCCCTCCATCTTTCAAGGAACAAGCACAGGGTATCCTTTGTTCTCTCCAGTGTTCATATTTTTATGCCCTTACTGCATCTCCTTCTGTACTGCTAAATATACTTCCTCGTACCTTTCTTTCCAAAAAAGCACGTAGTGCATTTCAGTGTTGAGGACCACTGGAAAAAAAGGAAATTCGCAGCTGCTTTATTCTATGCACAGCAATGGGTGGATGGAAAAGCAGTACTTGTAACTGGTAATTTTGCTGTTCCCTGTAAAGGTAAATTAAGGCACAGATTCCAAAAAGTGGAAGTGGATCTGGGTAATCTTCTACTTCTTAGTTTACAGCAGGTCTTAATATTTCTGGTTAGAGTCGTGGTGCGTATGATAGTGAAGCACAAAGATGTACCAAAAGCTTGCTTGGAATGAAATAGAGAATCCCTTCGACTTCCCAGTTGCTCAGAGTGAGCGAAAGGCCATCTCTTCTGAGGACGAACGGGGACTGGTTGTCCTAGGACGATTGCTGGTTCCGCACCTAGGCTAGAATACATCTCCTAACGTATGTATCTGTGTGCTGCTAAAGTGAACAGAGCAGGCATTATGATTTGCACTTTGCTTCCTTTTGTTTTGAATTCAAAGGCCATCCCTAATTGATGGAGGTTTCCTTTACGATGCACTTATTTTCAAATCCATCATGCAGTGCTTGTGCTGCCCCTTGCCTTCGTGGATGCGCTGGTCTTTGACCCAGAACTGGTAAATGAACCCTGCAGGGAAATCATTAGAGAATTGGAACGGTTGCAGTGGAAGGACCAAGGGTCAAACCATTACCTCCCCGCAGGACCGTCGACTTAAATTGGACTTCTTGCTTTTCGGAAGCAGGTCAAGTGTCAGGGACAGCTGAAGTGGTCAGGTACAAACCGATACAGATCATGGACACAGTTTGGGGGGTTTAGCTTAAAAAAATTAAGGCTAGGCAGGATGGATTTAGTCTAATAGTGCCTTCTCTGTTTCTCTCCTCTTTCCTCCTTTTAAAAAGCAAAATTAAAATCCTGAGAAGTCAACAGGAGCCAATACTCTGACATTAACAGGCTATTTGCGATCTTCTGGCACATTCATAATTTTTTAGAGTAGTGGGTTCAACCTTTTCAGTCTTTCCTTGCAGTTTTCTTTGACTGAAAGATAACAAATTATATTTTGTAACAAGAAAATACCACCATAATTCTTATGAGAAATACACCTCCAGCTCTTTTTTTCCCTTCCTCAACTGTTCTTTGCGTAATTTTTTCACACTCTTAAAAAATGTAAAATGACCTTTTTCAGACTGTACAAAATAAGTATTTCCTGCTCCTAGAGGAAAAACTCCACAGTAGTGCATCTATGGCAATGAAAAATATTGCTGAATATAAGAAAGCATTTAATGATTTAATTTAGAAGCCCTTGAAACATTTTTATAATGTTTTACATAATTCTAAGTGTGTAACTATGTAAAATAAGTTTGAGGTATCAAAAATGCCAAAAAGACATGGGTGTCATGCTGCTGAAATATGACCACAAACACTGAAGAACAAAACAGACTGTACTGAAAAAAAGAAGAAAAAAAAAGATGTCTGTGAAACCTGAAGTTCTTTTTACTGCAACTTGAAAGCGCTGCAGAGACCCCTTAGAAACATCCTTCTCCTTGGCTCTGTCCACCACCGTTCATAGCACACAGCACTCAGTAGGTTTAAGTCACTTTCTGACTTGTGTAAGGAATTCTCCCCTTCTGAAATAATTAAAGAGATGCAAGAATTAACACAAATGCACGTTCTAGTGAGTGGGCTGAAACCCGGCTCTTCTTTTGAAATCAGTGGCAGAGGAGTGTTTCTACAGAAGTAAAGGTGTTTTGATCAGGGAGGATAAATTAATTGCAGCGTGTGTGATAGGTAAATGTTTTTAAAATATTAATAAGAAAAAACGGGGGGGAAAAATGTGTAAGTACTACTTTGACTGGGGTATCCTGCTCTCAGAAATACCCATACGTGAGATCCACAAGTCTGGAAGACATAGAGATCTCGGGAGTCAACGTGAAACTGTTCACCGTCTCCAGCTGTGGAGGGACAGATCATGTCGAGGAGAACTCTGCCAGGTCGCAGATGGCCAACTTCGTGGCTTGCAATTCACAAAGCGGGCTGTCTTCCCAGTTTGGTTCTCTTATGTCTTACTCTGCGGGTAAGGAGGAACAAAAATGTTAAATTTCCTGTGTTTATCCTTTGAATATAGTTTATTAACCCGCCCCACCCCTTAGTTTACATATTCGTTTTCTGGAGAGTTCTTGTAATTACGGTGATTTATTGGTAAGAAGGCAAAGAGAAAATCTGAGTGAGTAAGAGAGGGATTGTACTTTATCGGACAAAAATTCGCTCTCTGCGTGGCGCCCGGTGGGTTTGCATGCTGCCAGCGGCGGGGTCCCCGTCTCTGGAGGCTGCGCAGCCCGGGGCGCGCCGGCGGCAGGCAGCGGATAACCCGCTCGTTAGTTGATGAGGCTCTCGGGCCCCCGCTGCCGGCAGCGCTGTGGGTCTGTGCCCCGCCGTTGGAAACGCAGGTGTGTGGCGACAGGTTGGCAGGGTTGGCGAAGGAGCCGCCTGCCAAGACGGCACCAGGGCAGAGGCTGGAGGCCCAAAGCAAGATGGCGGGGAGTCAGGGAACCTCGGCGCAGGGAAGAGGTGAGACACAGAGAAGCATCTCCCTTTCTGTGGTTGCAGGAGGGGATTACAGCCTTCCCCGTGCCCTGATGGCACCTGGCCTCCTGACTGAGGGGGAGCGAGGAACTGACCAGCTGGAAACTCTTATCCTTTACTCCAGCCCCTTCCACTTCCAGCAGCTCTTTCAAGCAGGCTGGAGCCGAGAAGCGTGCCATTGCTGCTGTGCAGAAAGAAATCGGCTTCCCTGGCACCTTCGGTGTTGTGTCTGGAACAAGCCAGCTTAATAGGGCCAGCAATTTGGAAAATGGCTCCGTGCGTACCAGCTGGGGGAAGGGGGAGGCTGCGATGGGGTGGGCTGCGTTGAGAAGGCGCGCGGCGCGGCCGGCAGCTCGCGGCCCCAAGTACAAACCCTGCCTGAGCACGGAGGCAAACGGGAGCGGGCTGGCAGCCGCTGAAAGTTAAATAGGGAGATTTTTCATTCACAAGGGCTGTTCCAACAACTCCTGATGTTGATAATGATGAATGGTGTGTAATGAAGGGCTGCGCAGCTGAGAGAAACAGTTCTTTGAACATCGCTTTTCCGCTGTAGCGCATCAGGACTAACAACCCAACTTCCTTTGATAGCAGGTGATGGGATAGGAAGCAAACTGGAAGGAAAATGATTTTCCCGAGCTTCTCGCAGAAAGCATACAAGGCACCAGGGCTTTTGCTTGTCAGTCATGCAATTTGCTTTAAAAGGTGAGAATTCGAGATAGCACGGATATATAGTAACGATAACGTTGGTCAAATTTTAGCCCACTAGAAAGATAGACACGACCATTTAATGAACCAGTGTGCTAGTATTCAGTACAGTTCACAAGAGGGAGCAGTGTTTGGGGGTTTTCTGGCAGGTGACTAATTACGTTCTCTACCACCTCTCTTGCGCTGGAAGAGATGGTGACCGAGCAGCGTTCTTCCCGCTGCCGGGCATCCCCTGGTATCCCCTGTATAACACAAGTCCTGTTATTTTACTTACTTTTAATTTAACAGTGGTGTTTCCAAGGTTGTGAAACTTTGAGCTTTCTTCGTGTCTTTATATTTTTTTTATTCCAGCATAATAAATAGAAAATAAAAATATTCTAGAGATACCATTGCTGATCTCTAAATTTTCCCTAATATTCTGAAAAGCACTATATATGCAACTTGAAATCAGTATGCACTACGCGATAGTTTTAATTTATTTAAACTGCGTCTATTTTTACACAGCTCTCTTTTCACTCATTTATATAGGGGTGAATATATATAGATAGATAGGTATGTGTATGGGAGAGGTGAGGTGTTTTCACTTGGCTGTTTGTTAACTTCTGACAGGAGATGAAGGACCAGCACTTGAGATCTTAAGAACTTTTCCCTCCCTTCGCACATTTGTAGCCCTAGAGTTAGTGGTACTGCCCCCTCTCTGTTTCAAAATTCAGTAACAAAAGAAAGTTAACACTAAATGTCATTTTATAATTGCAATAATGATCACACAGCTGTGCTTTCCTAGTTGTATAATGCACGTCAGGATCAGTTTAGGAGCTCAGCCTCATTTCCTGCCCAGCTGTAATTCTGGTGACCATTATTACAGTAGGAAGGCTCTCCTCGTTCATTATGGCCACAGTCTGACGGAGGCCTGTGCAGTGTAACGGAGGCTGGCGTAGAAGGATGTTGCAGCTCTGGGTTAGCTCCATGTAAGCTTTTGGCCAGTGCAGGAAGCATGCGTGGGTGCGTATGGACAGGGTGGCCGCAGACAGCATGAGCATCTCATCCCCCCGTGTGCGTAAAAAATAATAATAAAAAATAACTTAGGTGTGCCGTTCTTTCTTAAGAAATGTTGTCTTTATTTATGAGCATGTAAAATTCTGAGGAGGAGTTCTTACACTTAAATGAACCTGCGAGCAGCCCATAGAAAAGCAAGTGCCTGCAGCGCTAATAATGAGAACTGACAAGGCGATCCTGCTGTGTTTATTTATGACCTTCTGCCTTTGTTAGCTCTTGTGAGAAATTCCTCTCTAACCATAACAATATTGCTGGATCTTGGCACTGCGCTGAGGAATCCTACCGCGCCCCGAGGCCGCTCACTGGCACGGGTACAGCTCGCAACAGATTGGCATGGTTGTTGAAATTTTCATATGTTTTCCCTTTATTTCTTTACTTAATTCATAAGGCTGTTTGTTCCTTTGGTATGTTTGTTTGTTCTGACAAGCACCCTTCAGAAGTATTTTGGGACTTTGTGAAGATCCCAACTTACTGATTTGCTTTTTTTTCTCTTTTTTGGTGGTCTGTCTAATGAATAACTCAGAGGGTGGAATGAGCTTTGGTTTGATGGCTCCATCAGGTAGATCTTCTTAGAAGTTGTGAGATAGGTAGGTTTTTTTTTAAAGACAGACAGCAATGTATAAATGCTGGCCCTATTTGTAGTCTTCAGCACAGAATACTGCAGACAGGGGACTGGGACAAGTGCTCAGGCAACATTGCAGCAAAGCAGCAACAACCTTACAAGCCACGCAGCAAAGCTTTCATCAGGTTAAGAACCATATTCTTCTTGAGCTGTAGCTCTTAGAAACCATGCCTTGATGCAGATGGCTGTTTTCCCATCTTTCTATCACACGCGTTCCCCAGAAGACCTCTTGGCCCTACTCCCGAAGCTGTGTTAGGTAGCTCAGACAGAGATTTGGAGGATGGAGAATCATCAATAGGTAGGGCTGCACCTGAAGGTCTGGCAGGGCTGAAGTCTCTTTTTGCTTCAACTTGCAAGGACCAGGATGCAGTCATTGACAAGCGCTGCAGTTCCTCAGGCTGCTGCATGTGATGTGGGGTTTCCATGGGGGAACAGCAGCAGCAGGAGGGGAGGGGAAAAGATCACTGCCTTACACAATCCTGGCAGACCCTCTTCCGAAGAAGCTTCCAGCTGCAGCCCTTTTTCTCTATCTCTGTCACGTTACCTGACATGTTTTTTCACACCATGTATGACCACACTCAAAATTCAGTGCAACTAGAACAGAGATCGGTGGGGAAAAAAGTTCTCTTTTATTCTATTTACAACTGTTTCATACAAGTGGCTTCCAGATACGTTGTCTCTGTGGGCAGTGGTACTGCAGTGGTGCTTGCTGGAGGGAGCCACAGCAGGGACATAGCCTGGCAGGTGTTGGGGAAGGACAGCTGGCACCTCGGCTGAAGGGCTGGGTAAAGCACCTTCATCGTACGAGAGGGGAGATGGGAGCACCCTGCTCGGTAAAGCTGCACCGAGTGTCCACCCATTGTGGTCCATGAAGCAGCAGCCACATTTTTGCCGATCGCAAACATCCTACCTGTGCTTTCTTGGAATTTTTTCAGAGCATTTTATTAGCGTTACACTGAATTGGTAGTTCTGTGCATTACCAACCTCCTCCCTTCAAGCCAAGAAAAATTTTGGAGGAACAACCTACTGAAAGCTTTATCTAAAAGATCTTGGGACTCCCTGTCTTCTTTATGATAAGACAAAGCTGCAACTTTGAAGCATGTTCAGGCACTCAAAAACTCACAAAAAGCTGGCTTTTGCAATTCACCATGGAAGTCTTTCCTTTCTATGATACGTTAATTAAATACTGCTTTTTCTATAGATCGCATAGTCTGCATGGTTCAACACTTCTGTAGTGACTCTTCCACATTTCTCCTCATTTCTTGGATTTCAAGAGTGCAACTAAAATTATGAACCTGTCTGATAAAGATTAGCTTAATGCACTCAACAATCAGGACAACTGTGGTGTTATCTTAGCCTCAAGATACCTCTTCCCACCACAGAAGCAAAGTTTGTAAGCTGTGGCTGGGACAGTGTGCTTAGCAGTAGACAGGGGAGGGTATTAGCCTTTCAGAATTTTTTTTCTTAAAGCTTAATTGAAGTACTACAAGTTATCCTTCCTACTAGGGTAATCAAGACATTATTTGAAAAGAACTCTGAGGCCAAGACACTTTTCTAGGATTTCAAAAGCCTTTTGAAATTTATATAGAGGTTTCTGAAACATGAGTTCTACACAAGTCTGTTAAAACCGTATCATCTCAAAATATCGTGTTCCCTTGCCGCTCAATTATTTTGCACAATAGCATGCCCAACCAGCACTGAATTACTGTGAGGAGATGTGAATTCCAGAACTTGGGGTGATGAGGGAGTCTGGTTCTAGCTGGCATGTGCAAGAAACGATCTGAAAGTTTATTTTCTGCTTTATTACCGTCTTGGATTTCATTTCCCAACCTTTTCCCAGGTTACTGGAAAATGAAGCGGGGAGGGGGGGTTGAGTGAACCGCGTTGAGTGAACCGCTGTTGAAGCGTAATTGTTTGGTTTTGCTGCTGTGGCCCATAAACCTCAGAAAGGAGTAAGCAGTTTGTGTGCGTGGCGGGGAGTGTGGAGCAAAGCAGAGTCAGAGCGATCACGGCCCCATTCGTTTGTGCTTTGCTGGTTGTCGAACTATGCGCCGCTGGGGTCGCGTTGGGTTCGGAAAAAGGAAACAAAAAGGGAGGAGGTGGAGAGATTCTTGTGTGATGCTGAGAGAATGAGTCTGGAGTGGGAAATTAAGCTGAATGTACTGCAGTAAATGTTATGATGCTCATTTCTGCCTGATACCCCAATATAACACTGCATATCCAGTTTGTTCCAGTTTTGTTAAGTAAGACTAATTAATTTTGTTCTCTGAGGCAAGTCACCTTACTCAGTTCCTTAAAAAGGAAGCCTTTGTAACATTTATCGGTCTTTTTGGTGTGTATATTTTTCTGCTTCTTTCAGCTTCTGATTCAAGAGGAGGAGATGGAAAGCTATTGGAGCACCTGTGTTTTTGAAGTTTAAGATGTGTCTGTGGCTTATTTACCATCTCATTGAATTGTGGTATTTGGTTACAGGGTGTTGTGGGAGAGAGAAGAAAGAGACACAGTATGATGCATGCACAAGCCCTAAGCTAATGAAAAACTATGTTTTGTAGATCCTTATTCCCACGGTAACCTGCTGGGACATCCTTTTTATCAAACCATAACTCTACAAAGGGCATTAATATGCCAAAAGAAGAGGCAAGTGCTGTAGATCAAGAGTTTTTAAACCTTGGGCGTACAGGTGTATAGGTTCATCGGTTTTTTAAGCCCTTTATCATGGTCCACACATAAGTAGCCTTCGGCTGTCAGAACAGCTCGTTATCAACTTGCCTAGTTTACTGTGGGATGAAAAGATCTGCTTTCAGTGATTGGTGGGCAATTGATTGTTGGACCTACCCTTTTTCTGTTCTCTCAACCGCAGTCTCCAAGTCAGATAGTATTGTAGGTCCAAAGT